TTAAACTCTTCACTATAGCCTTATAGCGAAGTTGAGGTCTAGGACATAGAGTTCGTTATAACAAGAGTTGACTGTATGTGGTAATTAGATCATATCATTTAGATCATATGTAGTATTCAGATTATATGTGATATTTAGATTATATGTGATACTATAATCTAGGATAAATAGGATACTACATGTAATATAAATTATATTACATGTGGTATCCCACTTATTCTATTGAAAAAAATACTTTAAACTTATTTTACTCAAAGCAAAAAATTATTTTTTAATTATTTTTTAGTAATTGTTTCTTTTTATTTTAAAACACTTATATTATATATTTATAGTTAATTTTTTGTAAAATCTGAATTTAACAATAATTTTAAAACTTTTTCTAATATAAAATTAATTAATTAAATATAATTTTTTTAACATTAAAAATATTTATATTATAAAGTAGAATATAATTTTTGTAATAAAAAAATAAATATTTTAATATATATATAAGTCAATTTAAAAGAGAAAAGTAAAATTTATTTAAATATATATTTAATAAATTTTTTAATTATAATAAAAAATTTAAATTATTTTGTAAATTAATTATTCTTTATGATAAATTTTATAAGATATTAAATTATTACAATTTTTATAATTTATTAAGAAATTTTATAAGTTTATTAGTAATAAAGTGATTTAATTAGTTAACAATACTATTGAATTTTAATAAAAATTTTTTATAATTTAATTAAATTATTATAAAACCAAATATTTCTAATAGAGTTAATAAAATATATATTAATCTAACTATGTTTTAATATAATTATTATGGTTTTTGTGCAATCCTTTATGCAAAATTACATCACGTTACGAATGTGTAATAACCTTTATGACGAAAAATATTTCCTGATATAGGTTATAATAGTAAATAAATACGTATGTATGATTTTTTATAAAGTTGATCCGATTTAGATAAAATAGTATATAGTTTCAAAATTTTTAGCAAAAATATCGTTATTGATAAAAAACTGTTTTCGTAGAGATTCCTAAAGCGGAAAAAGAATTTTTAACTCCGGAAAATCAATTCTTTTACTTTTTTTATAAGCAAAGTATCAAAAAGTCACCAATTAAGAAAGCATACAGGTTTTTATTTGGAAATAATTGGTACGGAAAATCGAGGATGATTTTATGGATTGTTGGCAAAATAAGTGCATAATGCTGTTTGACCAATCACTCTCATTTAGTAATGAATTCTTTTTAAATGGTTATTCAACTTTTCTATCCTGCATCCAAACAGTTTTCTCTTCTCATTATATAAAGTCGTTTCTTTCTTTTATTTTCTTCATTTGCCATCAAAACACCTCATAATAAAGCAACCATCCAACCTTATTACACTCACTTTTATAACTCTAACCAAACCTTCTCTCTTCCATTTCCAATAAATTACCAAAATGTTGTCTTCCACAAGAACGGTTATTGATAATAGTTCTGGCTTTGGTCCAAGCTTATTACAAGTTATTGATAGTACGGAGGGTTACCAACTACCAAATACAACGTTAGAAATCCCTGCACCAGAGTCATTTTGCTTGCCTCCCATATACGAATTAGACATTTCGGTTTCGCACTTTGTATTGAGGCGTCGTAACGCTATAGTAGAAGCTGTATTGGAAACTCCACTCGTTTACTAAAAACTTCTTTCATACAGTAAGTTTTATTATTTCAACCGTTATTAAATAGAATTGCCTTAAACTACTTAACTAATAATTTATTATTTTATATATATTATATAATATTAGTATTGAACCATTTCAACAAAAAAAAAAAAAAAAAAATTTCAAAATTCAAAATTCAAAAAAATAATTATTTATTATATTAAAGGCGTATATACTTATAGAATTTCCTTTAATTATTTTAATCATATAATTCCGCTGTTTATATTTTCCAAATTTTATCTCTTTTTATTATGTTTGTTAAATATATATATTATTTTGTATTATCAATTAACTATAGAAGTACATAGTTCTTTGTTTTTTCTTATTTCCTATTAGGAGTAACTATTTTACTTTTCATTAGTTATCAAATTCAAACATTTTTGATATCATAATCTCTTCTTCATAACTTCTTTTTTTTTTTAACTTGATCTTTGTTAGTCGAACGGCCGGCCGTCTTAATTAATGATTTTTGGGTCATTTGGTCGAATTTCAAATAAAGATCGAATTGTGTGATTAATGTTAGCTACAATTGTATCGCTAAATTTAACTCTTATTTTGTTGCGTATCTGGAAACTTTGTTTTTAAACCAAATATAAAAAAAAGAAACAAGAAGAAAACATGTTCGATTCTGAATTAAATTATTAAGCATAACTTTCAATTGCCTCAAAAAGATTTTTATTATAGTAAACTAGATTCCATGACTTGACGTAATAAATTCCTTTCAATATTTTGTTTTAATTTATAATGAAACGTAAGAAAAAATTTCTTTTTTCTTTAGAAATAATAAAGTATTGAATAAAATAATATATATATATTTTTTTTTTTTGTCCTTGTTCCATCTTTCAATTAGAAAAAATATCCATTACAAGATAGGAATGGGCTGAACGATGCGAAAAACGCGGCGTCCCCTTGCCAGTTTGGTTCATTGCCATTGTAGTATCTGTGATAGACGGATTCACATCCTTCCACAAGCTTTCGGATAACTGTCTCTTTGTTGTCCTCTTGGTCTTTTAGTTCTTCAGATCCTGCAGAAAATGTTACGTTAATTAAGTAATGTTGATAAACTGAGTTTTGGGTTATTTTAAAATAATTTTTACCCTTGGCCCTATTATCATTGTTTATTTTTTCTGTCACCTTATTCAAGTTTTCCATTATTCTTTCAACTTTAACCTTTTTTTTTGAAGGCGCAGTCTCTCCTCTTCTTGGTTGAGCGATTTGAACCGTTGCTTCAATATTATTTCTAGCTCGTGGTAACTTCTCTCGAACTTTTTGTGTTGCGCTTCCATTTTTATGGTGGGTGGAAGTTGTGGTGTTGGGCGTTATTTCATTTTCGTCTGACCTTGCTCTCTTGTAAGCGTTCTTTGTTTCATTACCCGGAGGTTTGAAATGTCCATTTACGAAATAACGTTCGAATATGGGATCAACTGTCCAATATCCCCCCTTTCCGGTGGCTCCTTCGCCACGTGAGGCCCTCACAAACGCTGCATTCAAGGAGAGATTGTGTCGAATTGAATTCTATATATGTTATGAAGGTTATGGAAATATATATATACACACATATATATATTTATAAATAAAGTAAATTAAATAAATTCATCATCAATAAATAAATAAATGAATGAATGAATGAACTACCTTCCAACCTTGTTGATTCCTCTTAAAGAATGGATAAGTGGTACATATCCATTCATATATCTCTGATAGGGTGGATTTCTTTTCAGACGATGCAAAGATCGCTTGACAGATCATTGAGGCGTACGAATATTCGGGTTTTGGTGCAAGCATTTCTTCTTCCATACCTATCATTTTGTTGGTCGTTTGCATTAGGACTTGTGAAGGTCCCTGAACAACGAACCCTCTTGTCCCCTCTAACTTAGGCAATAATATCTTGTTACCGCTTTTCATCATTTTGATTCCCTCGTCGTCGATGGTTTTGAGTTGTGTTTGTCCGGGTACAAAATAACTTGTTCTTCTTATTAAAGGCATTGACTCCTGTGGATCTTCTGGGATGACAACCGCTGACATAACGATACCTCTTGAAGTTTTCGGAACATTCATATTACTTTTTTCTGCATTTGAAACTTCGGAGTTGATACTATTCGAGGTACATTTAATACTTTTAGGAGGAGAATGTAAAGCGATCTGATTCAATTTACCATTCATAGCATTCATGGTGTATTGTATATTAAAACTATTCATATTTTCATTATTGTTATTAGGATTCTGTACTTTAATGGTATCGGCTTGAACCTTTGTGGTTTGAATTTTAGTGTTATTAGCGTTATTATAGTTCATCGTTTAAAATTAGAATAATAATAATTGATTATATTATATTAAGTTTTTTTTTTTTTTTTTTTTTTTTTGAAAAAACTTTTGCGAGTCCAAGGGTTTATATATGATGGGTGAGAGAAATAAAAAACGCGGGGGAAGAGTTTGTTTACAAAATCTGCCTCTTAACTAAAAATAGTAATCACGTTTTCATGTTTTGCTGAAATTGGTAAAATCATCCATTTTGGGAATTAATCACAATTAACGCGAAAAAAAAAAAAAAAAAAAAAAAAAATAACGCGTGCAAAATTAATTATTTAGATCAATACCAAAGACCGATCTCCGGTTACACGAGATATATAGATACCGAAAATTTTTTAATAAACGCGACAAATGGTAACACGAAATCTAATTATAGGAACCAACTTGATATATTTCACGTGATCTCTGATATTCCACAAGCATTCGGGGGGTATTTAAAAAAAAAAACATTTTTATCTTTTGAATATCAGTGGAATTAGAAATTAAATCATCATGGATCCTACGTCTCGTTCACCACCTAGAGAACTACAAGATCTTTCTGCTCATTCCGGTTATTCACAGCAGCGTCCACCTCCCGTGAACGCACATCAATTACCTCAATTACACATGGTCCCACCTTATCGTCCACTTCTTCCTTCCGGTTGGACTGAACATCGTGCACCAAATGGCATGTTTTATTATTATAACGCTGCAACAGGCCAAAGTACTTGGGAGAGACCTATATTGGTTCCTCCTCCTCCTCCGATCGGTCCACCTCCTGGAACTTTGCCACATTCATTTCAACCGGTCCCGGGAATGATGTCACAGCAAATGCAAAATGTGCCACCACTGCAACAAAAGGAGAGAAGAAAGGAGAAAAAGAAAAAAGAAAAAGCAAAGGGAAAGTCAGTATATTATCTGGATCTTGTTCGCTTTGCTTCATTTATATTTTTTATTGAAGTTTATCAATGTTTAGGAGACAAATTCCAGATACAAAATGGTACATTGTTGCTACAACAGAAAGCAGAGAGTTTTATTATAATTCTGAAACTAAAAAATCGGTTTGGGAAGTTCCCGAAGAAATTGAAGAAGCTGTCAAGAATTTTAAAGAGCAAGAAGAAAAGGATGCTCAAAGATCAAATGAAAGTACAGGATTAAAAAGGAAGGCAAATGATGAGGAAGTAACTGGCAGCGAGGAATTCAAAAGAGCGAAAGGAAGTACGGATGGTGGTGAAATTGAAGGAACCGAGTTAGTATCTTGTCATATTTCTTAATTGTTTGGATATGGAAAACTTCAAGGACATAAAAATCTTATTTCATATGTTTTAGATTGACAGAAGACGATATCGCTTTTCAACTTCAGTTCATAGAAGAACAAGAACATCAAGAATCCATGGATGATGATTCAGAAGATCATGATGATGATCATGAGTATATGGGTGAAGAGGAAAATTCCTTATTAAAAAAGAGGGATAAAGGAAAAGAAGTAGAATTATCCTCCGAGGAATGCGTACTTTTGTTTAAGGTAATACAAGAAAGTTCTCGGATGTAAATTTATTATTATCTATTTTTGAGTTGAAAGATAATAGTCTTTTTTTTTACCTTTTAGAGCTTACTTAAAGATATGGAAGTTTCACCATTTGCCACTTGGGACAAAGAACTTCCGAGAATTATTCATGATGAAAGATATAAATGTAAGTCAGTAGCAATTATATGACATTTTAAGAGAACATATTTTAAAACTAATACCTTTTACCATGATCTTCTTAAAGTAATACCAACTTTGAAACAAAAAAAGGAAATATTTGACGAATACTGTAAAGAACGTGTAATAGAAATAAGGTCAGAAAAGAAAAACAAGGCAAGAATGATAAATATCATTATATTATATTTTTATCAATTTCATATTTTTGTGAATGATAGTTAATGCTTATGAACAATGTCATTAGAATTTATCTGCGAAAGATGAGTATCTAAGATTACTAGAAGAAGAAACTACCTATCGTTCTCATTGGGACACTTTTAGGAGAAAGTTTAAACGTGATTCAAGGTTTAAGGGGTTTTCTGACGATAAGGAAAAGGAAAAGATATTCAGAGTATATGTCAAAGAATTGAAGGAAAAAGAAACCGAACGTGAGAATATTTAATACGCAATTCATTTTGCTTGTTTTTCATGTTTATATTCAACGCTTAATATGCTTTTTCCTTTCGTTAACCAGGTAAGAGGGAACAGCAAAAAAAAGCCGAAGAAGACTTTATAAGATTATTGAAAGAGGCAAGAGAGATAAAATATGACTCTAGTTGGCGAAAGGTATTAATAGATAAACTCTCTAGGATAGGGATTCTAATTTTCAGATATGTTAATCGTTATTTATTATTATTTGCAGGTTAAACGGATAATTGATCATGATACAAGGTATCACGCTGTAGAATCTTCTATTACACGTGAAAGTTTATTTAGAGATTATTGCAGAAAACTGGAAGCTGAAGATGAAGAAGAGATGATTAGGAGGGAGAATGAACGCAAACAGAGAGATCGTAAAGCAAGGTATGAATCTATTGCACCATATTTACCTTTTTTTTAATTGAATTTGCCGAATTAGAAATTTTATTAAAAAATTAGTAAAATATTCCTCTTTATTATTAAGAGAGGAGACAAGCTTGAGAAATCGAGAAGCTCAAGTTAGATGGGAGAAGAAGATTCAAAATCGCGAAAAAGACAATGCAAAAAATAAAGTTATGCGCGTTGAATCAATACGCGAATTTCAAACACTTTTGATAGATTTAGTGCGAACTCATGAGGTAATTGAATAAAGATATTACCAATCTATTATTTTGATTAACTTAAACTGTATAAAATTTTCCAGACTACTTTTGAATTGAAGAAACCCGATTTACAGAGGGATTCACGTTTTCATGGACCTGGCCTCGAAGACAAAGATCGAGAGAGATTGTTTCAAGAACATATTAATGATATCTATCAAAAGCGATTGAAATCATATTACCAGCTACTTGACCAACATGTTCAGCTAGATACTACCTGGTTAGAGATTCAGTCGGTAATCATTGATGATTTACGTTCTGTCCGACTTTCGAAAGATGAGTCGTTATTAGAAAGATTATTTGATAGCTATTTAGCTGAAAGAATTGAATTGGCTAAAAAAGAATTTATGGAACTTTTGCGAGAAAACCAATTTGTTGAATATAGAACGCGAATGGTTAAATTATCAGAGGATGGCGCAACTGATGAGACTGGAGCTAGTAAAGAGAAAGCACGTGCATTATCTATAGAAGAAATCCATGATGTACTTAAGGTATATAAATTTTCCAAATACATCAAATTTTGCGAAATTATCCTTTTCTTTAATACTATGATTGATTGATTTATAGGACGATAAACGTTATCTTGTATTAAGTTCTATGCCGGATATCCGCAACGAACTGATTACGGATTATTTAGATAAATTGGAAACGCCAAAAATGACGGTGCATCAAGGTCGAGAATAACAACACTGTAAAATAGATAATATTAAATTAACTTTATTTACAAATAATAGTTCTATGTTCAATAACGATAAATTAACATCCGGATATTCTGAATTCATTCTCGCAAATTTCTATTATAAATTAAAAAAAAAAAAAAATCTTTTTTCTATTTTGAAAATAAAACAAAAATGTCTGTAAAATGATCTATTTCTTTAGTATAACCAGAATTTTTATCAGTCACTTTTAAACCACCAACTCTTTGCAACCCAGGACTTAATGGGAAAAATTCTAAAGAAAATTCAACAAAAGAATCTGATGATAATTCACCCAAATTCGTTACAGAAGGACCACTAAGTAATACAGAACCCATTTTAGTCTTAACTGCTGTTATCACAACTTTTAAAGTAGATGATGTTCGATTCCTTATTCGACATCCTAATTTAAACGGAACCTCGAGTTCTATCAAAGGTGGAACGGATGTTACGGAAAGTTCGATCTCATCCAACGCCGGAGGTTTACGTGTCAATTGACTGGTTTGTAAACGCCCAGTTTCACCATGGCTTGAACGCCAGACAATATCAAGTTTTCCAAGAGCATTTGTCGTCCGACCAAGTTTATCATCTATCTCGGGTTTTGGGGTTAACATATATAAGTATTGACGAATATCTTGCGGGTTTAAATAACTGTTCTCTCCAAAAATACTTTCTTGTTCTAATGATACCTTTGTTGACTTGAAATCCTCTTTTTTAACGTTCAAATCTTCATTATTTTGATCTTCATTATTTTCAGTATCTTCAATATTAGATTCTTTATTGATTTTCTCATTAAAATTTCCATTAACTTTTACAAGTTCTTTCTCTTCTATTTCTTCATCGGATATCACATAATTTAAATCTTGATAATTAAAAACATCACCGGGTTCAAAACCCATCTTCTCCAAATACATTAATCTCTCTGCTACGTTTTGAATCTGAACTTCCAGAAACACCGTTCCATCTCCCATATTATTAACTTTAGTTTTTACTGCGAAAGGATTCAAAACTCGAAATCTGTAAAACTTTCTAAAACTCCTTTTAACCCCTTCATCTGTTGTATATTGAACCATACATACTAAGTTATGTAAACCCAACTCTTTGATCTCATGCCTTATCACAAATTCACATGCTTTAAGTGGTTCAGCAATTGGAATCGGTTTGGAAGAAGTATCCGCCAATTGTAACCGTTGTGAACTCGTTTGAAGTTCGGCCTTAATACCGATATTGCGTGCAACAAAAGTTGAATCATTGTTTACAATAAGGTAACTGTCAAAAGTTGCACCTAAATAAATATTATCAATCGAGTTAGAAGATATTGAGGATGGAGACAAAAATTCGCTTTCGCTAAGGTCACGCATGTAAATTCTTGAAGGTGACACTTTTGAATCCAAGGTTTCCGCCTGTGACCTATTCCCGGCTTCTTTGCTTGTTAAAGAATTTGCTTGTCTCATAACTCTTAGAGATAACAAATGTAGAGGCTCGCGTGGATGATCTATAATAATGTTGGAATTACCGCTAATTGCAGACATTATGAGCTAATCTTACGAAACAAAAAACAAAAAAAAATGGGTATGAAAAGAAACTTTTAATCTGCAGATCAAATAAATAAGTATTCGAGTTCTGTGAAACTTTAGTAAGTGAACACGAGTTTTATCATATTCTCCCGGGAAATTTTCCTACCAATAGATCTGCTATCGAGATTATATTTTTTAATAATTGAAGATTTTGCTATGGAAGAAAAAACAGTCATTGCAACAGAAGTGAAAAAGAGTGAAGAAGTTGATAGTGAAGGGAATCCACTTTCTAAGAAGGCTCTCAAAAAGTTAGAAAAAGAGAGAGAGAAAGAACGAAAGAAAGCAGAGCGTGAAGCAAGGGAAGCGGCTGAGAAAGCCTCACGTGAGGCCACTGAAGTAATAAAAAAAGCTATCAATTTTATCATTTTATCAGAAATTATCTATTAAAGCTTCCTATATCCTTTAGAACTATGGTTCTGAAAACTATGGAAAATTGCCCATGAACCAATCACGGGAAAGGACCGGTAAGGACAGTATTTCGATCTAATGTGATATTCACATAAAACTAACAATTTGTTGTGTTTAGGTATTAAGAGAACTCGTATCGTTGATATCAATGCTACTCGTGATGGTGAAACTGTGACATTTCGGGCCCGTATCCATACTTCACGCAGTAATAGTGTGTAAAAATAAAAATTTTGATCATATTCATAATTATTTTTAATTGCTAACAATTAATCAAATTATAATAGGTGCGAAGCTTGCTTTTTTTGTTTTTAGGCAACAAGATGCCACGATTCAAGGAGTACTCGCTGTGGATGAAAAAAATATAAGCAAAACATTTGTTAAATTTGCTGCTAGGTAAATATCAATGTTATTTTTGATCGAACATTTTGAATGATCTGGTTAAGCCAACAAATTATGTATACACGTGTAATTAGCGTTCCTGTCGAATCGATCGTTCTTGTTGAGGGCACTATCAGCAAACCAGCCGAGGAAATCAAAAGCACATCAATCTGTGATGCGGAATTACGCATCAAAAAAGTAAGAATATATTAGAACCTATACATATATAGACATATAGTCTATTTTATAACCATTTCTCTTTTGATGTTAAGTTTTACGTAGAGTGTGAAATTAATGGACGACTTCCGTTTTCCTTGGAGGATGCCTCAAGATCTGAGGAGGAATTCAAAAAAGTAACATTTTTCGTTTATATTGATGGTTACAATATATGCAAGTTATCTAATTATCGTTTTTGATAACTTGTTTAGGATGATGTACAGTTCAGTCGTGTAACGCTAGAAACGCGGTTGAATCACCGCGTTGTTGACCTTAGAGTAAGCTAAATTAATAATTTGATTCGCAAATTGTATTCTTGCTAAGCTTACATAAAAATCAAATTACTTTTTTAAATTTAGACTCAAACAAATCATGCAATTTTTCGAATTCAGTCCGGAGTTTGTCAATTGTTTCGTGAATATCTTTTGTCGAAATCTTTTATTGAGATACATACACCTAAATTATTAGGTGCTGCCAGTGAAGGCGGTGCTAATGTGTTTAAGGTTAGATATTTCAAAGGTAAGAATAACCAAATGTTTTATCGAACAAGACATGAGTAAATATTAATCTCGTTGTCATGTATAATTAATTTATAGGTGATGCATATTTGTCACAGTCTCCTCAATTGCATAAACAAATGTGTATATGTTCCGATTTTGAAAGAGTATTTGAAATAACCCCTGGTATGCAAATGAAATTTATTTAGGTGGTATAATTGATAATTGGTCAAAGTAACAATACTTTAAATCATTCCGATCTTACAGTTTTTCGTGCCGAGAACGCAAACACTCACCGACATATGACAGAATTTGTTGGACTTGATTTGGAAATGGCAATTGATGAACACTATCATGAAGTGCTTGATGTATTGGATGAACTTTTTGTTTTTATTTTTAACGGATTAAAATCTCGATTTTCCTCTGAAATCGAGACTGTGAAAAAACAGTATCCTTGTGCTGATTTTGAATTTCACCCTAAAACGCTAAGATTGGAATACAAGGATGCTGTCAAACTTTTAAGAGATAACGGTACCGAAATAGGGGATTTTGAAGATCTTAGGTATTGTATCTTTTGATGTTTTGAAATTCATAACTTTTTTTATTAACTTTATACCGTTTTGAAATTCGTATAGTACTGAGAAAGAAAAATTTCTTGGTAAACTAGTTAAAGAGAAATATCACACGGATTTTTATATGCTCGATAAATTTCCATTAGAAGTTCGACCATTTTATACTATGCCAGACCCAACCAATAACGTATGTTTCACTCATTATACAGCGCGTTTGTAAATTTTAACTAATACACATACGCATATATATATTATTAATAGAAATATTCAAATTCATACGACTTTTTCATGCGTGGGCAAGAAATTCTTTCTGGAGCACAACGTATTCATGATCCAGTGTTTTTAGAAGAACGTGCCAAGGTGCACGGTGTTGACTTATCAACCATACAACCATACATTGACTCCTTCAAAAGAGGAGCTCCACCACATGCAGGAGGTGGTATCGGTAAGTGGTTATAAAATTCAAAGGTTATAATGTAAATTTTGCTTTTTTTTTTTTTGATATTGCAATCGGTTAAATCAAATTTTTGATGAATCAATAGGCTTGGAGCGAGTAGTCATGTTTTTCTTAAACTTGGATGATATACGTAGAAGTTCACTATTCCCACGTGACCCAAAACGCCTCGAGCCATAAATTAATTTTTTTTATCATGTAATCGAATTATTAATGTATTTGACTTTGATTGTAAATTAAAGTTCATTCAACCAAAAGATACTTGAAATTATTTTCCTTTGTTTTATGATTATTGAAAAAAACTAATACAAATGAAAGTAATTATTAAACCCCATTTTGAATTTAACTCTATTAACATTTTCTCATCAATTAAAAAAAAATATCCAATCAGAATAAAGAACCTTCTGGAGGTTGAGGCAATTTCTTATTAACCGGATTGGCCATTTCACTGTTAAATTATTATCGGTTTTCAATATTAAATGGCCCAGAAAAGCAATTCAGATACATGATTAGTTAGTTAGATTACTGGAATTCAATACATTGATATTTATATAGATAATAACGATACATTACCGACGTAGTTCTAATAAAATGTCTTCTAAGCCATAAGAACTTTTCCACTGAGCCAAGCAACTTAACCTAGAAGGTTCGACCTGTTAAAAGAGTTATATTAATGATTCCTTCTATTTTTTTTTTTTTTTTTGGACACCTCGTAATACGATTTGACTCACTTTTCCTGTATGTTGATTAACGCATGGTAAATTAATACGTGAAATAAAATGGACAGTTGGTGGAGATTCGGGATAATTTTCGTCACAATAAAGTTTCAAGCTATAAATGCGATTCTCATGAATGGTCTTGATGACGGATCGGTAAACAAAAATCATAAGTTTAATTATTAAATACAAGATTAAGAAACAAATTTGATTGTAAAATTTATGGCTTACTCCGGCCGGTCCTATGATCGTGCCATTCCAATTACTCATATATATATCCTCGCCGTTTGAAAGACCGTAACTACAAGTACCATCTCCGAGCCCTTTTTCACCCTTTTCGAGTTCTTCAAGTAGTTTAAAATTGCGTGGAACTAAATAGAACAAGTGGTTAGTATAATGAACAATATGATAAAATTTTCTTCAAATAAACTAAATAAACTATTCGTTATTTTATCCTACTATCATTTGAAGTTATAACTCCGAACGCTTAAACGAAAAGTTTTAAAGTCGCTGCTTGCAACTTTTTGGTTGACTTGTTTCGTTCACATAAATTCTCTTAAAAACTATGATATTATTCTTTATCCTTAATTAAAGAATCTAAAGGTACCTTTGGCCATTTGACAATATTAATAAATAAAAAACGAAGACGATTGGCGTTTCAAAGATTTGATAAGAAAATGTTCGGCTATTACGAATACCTCCTTTCGAATTCGTTAAATGCATATATCGAGGATCGACATCTGCAAATCACAATGAAATACGTTTTCCGGACAAATTCAAATAATACCCCCCACCCCTGTATTAGTAATCAAGTTACTTGTAAATCAGTGAAATCGACGCGTCGCGATAAGATTTTTGATGATTTGGAGATTTTCTTGGCAATTAGTGATTATTGCTAACCAATAAATGCTGACCAATAAAATTATTTTATCAAACTTGGGGGTAAATTTTTATACTTTTAAATAATACCTAATGCGATTTAAAATATCTAAATTTTAGATACAAAAAAATTTTAGAAAGGAATGTTTTATGTTGAACAAAAAAATAAATGTAGTAATAACTTTTTTCTAGACATAAAATCTTAAAATAAATATGAAGTCTTTTTGTAATTTGATTACCAAACACATTATACATAATATGGGACCTTTGCAAGCGAAAGGGGAAAACTGCCAGAAAAATCAATTTTACTTTTAACATTAACTCATTTTATATTTTTTCCGGCAGTTTTCCCTTTTCCATGTAAAGGTCAATAAAAATTTGTCTAATTTGAAATTTTAATTATTTTATACCTTTTTATTTTTTATATAATAAATAAGAAGAGGAATAATTATTTTAAAAAATTTTAACAATTAATTTTAATTTTTTATTTTATTATATTTTAAATATATAATATAAAAATGAGATCATTAGGAAAATAAAAATCAAAATTTTTTAATTTTAGTCAAAAGATCTTAGAATTTGATTATTATTTTTTTAAATAAAAAACCTTTTTTAAATTCTTAATATAAATTTTTTAAAAAAAAAACCTATTAAGACATTAATTAATAATATTTATTATGGATTTATAAAATAATATAAAATATAAAATTTTAAAAAAAAATAGTTTAAAATACATTTTTATTTATTACTTTTTAAATCTTTTATCATAAAATATAATTTATCTTCCTTAGTAATCTATGATTCTTTTATTATTTGTTTCTAATTATTTCTATTTCAGCACTTTACAATAAAAAGAAAAAAATTACCAAAAAATTTTTTTGAGTTAATGTTAAATCTGAATTTATTTTACTAAAAAAATAATATTTAATTTATAAAGTAAAAGAAAATTTATTGGTAATTTCATACTTTTTTACTGTAAAATGCCTATTTTATCTTAATTTTTTAAATTTTTTTTATTCTTTATTATTATTTAAAATTCTTTTATATAACTTAAATAATTAGTATAATATATAATACTATAATATTATAAATTATTTTTTTTTAAATATTATGATATTATATTATAATATTATTATAAAATTAATAGTAAACTATAATATTATAAATTAATTAGTCTGGAATATAATAAACAATTATATTATACTATGTATATTAATTCAAAATATTTGAATTTCTCCTGTTCAAGAATTGAGTTGATGCTGATTAGCTTTTATAATTACACAAAGTCTTAAATAAATAAATACTTATGTGAAATTTTTTAGTTAAAATCATTTGAACTTAATAATAGTTTTTATTTTCTGGTAATATTATCCCTTAAAGCATAGGTATATATTAATTATAAAACATTATAGAAAAATTAATATTTTAATATCTAGTGATTATAACAAGATAAATAAAGTTTATTAGATTTGTCATATTAAGATCTATCTAATGATAGTATTTTAAAATTTTTAAAATTAATAATTATTAATATAAATTAATTTTTCAATTTTTCAATTTTTTAAA